CCCCCCCCACTTAGTGATTGTCATTCGTTTTACTTCAATTACAAGGGAAGCTTCTCAAGAGAAGAGATTCTTTGTTGGTTTATGTCCCCAAATTTAGTGGTGGATATACCTTAGGACAAATAATGGCTGTGCAAAGCACCATGACTTCAAAACTGACCTGCTGTCTCCCAGGAGTGGACCTTAGTACTTTTGGGTGCTTCAAACCACAAGAATAGATCCAGACCTAAACATTTCAAGTGTATGTGATCCAGATCCACCTGTGCTTAGAGCTACACAAAACTGTTGGTGCTCTTCTGCAAAAGTATTAGATTTTTAGGCAAATTTAAAAAAAAAAGAAGAAAACAACCTGAAACAAACAAGCAAAAAACCACAACCAAACACACCCAAAACGAACTTATTAAGAACACAGAAGCTCTGTTATCAAACATCCTGCCTAGGGGCCAAATTCAGGAGACTGTGCTAGGACAGGGATCCCACGGAAAGCAAGGAAAGCTCTGACTGAGCAAGAGCCAAGTGCACATTTTAGGAGTGAGACTGTGTGAAAGCTGGTGCTACTGAGCCTCTCGTATTCATTTCAAAGACCACTCCGTGAGCACAAATATTGCCATCTGTATTGGCTTATGAAAGCTGGCAGCACCATGGAGACAAGTCATTCTAGCAGGATCTTAGCCAAGACACATCTTAGGACTATGGATCCATACAAGAGTTAGTAAATGAGTGACCTCTCCTGTTCCGGAATCACAATCCATAGGGAAAATCCATATGGGAAAACTCAGCATTCAGTGTCTGAAAAGTGAGTGCGTGAAAACCAAACTGACTACACATGGGCTTATACTCTTACTGGTGGTAGTAATGAGGGGATTGTCACACTGAGTTACAATTTGAATTGGACTGGAAGGCCAGATGCCTCAAGAGTTAGAAATGGGCATTAGCTTACCATGGATTTACTACTGTTTATTTCCCCTGTGGATGTCAGATGCTGGCAAGACATTGAAGAAGTTTCCCAGCACATAAAATGTTCCAATGTTCATCCACAAATCTGATATGAGCTGAAAGCAATTGGAGAAATCTACTCCAGCCAGCTGGCTGAAGTTGGAAAGGCCCCACATATCTGTTACGCAGCAGTAATCAGTTTTCACTTGGAAACTAAGGCAAGGGCTGAGGTAAACCCACCCATAGCCAGGGGTTTATTTTGGTAATCTGGGAGTGCATAGCAGCTTGCAGAGCCACCCATATCCATACCATAAACAGAATGCCCCCTCTCCCCACCTGCCACGAGGTGGAAAGCAGAGATAATTAATGCTGTACCAGACCTAATTACAAATGTCTTAATTTTTACGGGGCTGGGTGCCCATGACATCTACTATATCACTGGTAAAGGCTTGCCTGGGTTTGCAGGTACCTTTCTTGCATTACCTCTCCCAAGCATTGCAGCTGAGAAAGCCTACGTTAGTGCTGGGGGTCCTAACTGGTGAGACAGTAATACCAGTAACTGAATGTTCCAGATGTTCATTACAGAGCAATCTACTTGCTGTATCAGGATTTAGTAATCATATGGGGTTTTTTCCCCCTTGTCCAAGTAAATGTACAATTCAATCACAGTGGGTAACTCCTGAAGACATGAAGCTTCAGGCAAGAACACTAAATGGTAGTTTGTGAAGAGGAGAAGCTACAGAGGAACCATTTTCACCTTTTAGTGACCATCAGATTGTTTTTACCCTTAACAGGCCTGCAGCAATGCTGAGGGGCAGCAGGCCCCTGACTGCCAAAGATGCCATCATTTTTAGATTGCTCTTTAAGTACATATAGAGGGAACCATGTCTTTTTAAGGCTACTTGAAAGAACCATGCTGGAAATTGGAAGTTTCACAAGCTTTGCAGTGTGAAATTCTCCTCCCTTATTTAAATCTCTGCAGCACTGTTGGAGCTTTGTTTTTTGACACACATTTTCTTGGGATTTGACATTGTTGAACATGGATGTCCAGTGTCTTTACTCTCTTCTGTAACCAAAAAGCAAAGATTTCACAGCACTGTGTCAAAGAAGGAAGATTTTATAAGGATGTTCTTAGCATTAGTTTGGAATAAATTGCTTCTGCCCTTGCACACTTGAACAGCTAATTGAAACCTCTCTATCTTCAGGTTGTCATCTAGTTCTTCTCTGGAAACGTTCCACTGAGAAGAACATAGGAATCTAGGAAGCAACCAGAACTGCTTGGGCAGCTGAGAACTACCCGTGGCTATGCTTGTGCAATGTTATTTTAGAAGACTCTACTAATATTTGTTGTGTAGCTTTAAAGCCATAAATAGAAAGCAGGAGGGACTGTCATGAGTCTTGCAGGGGAGGTGGGACATCTGGAAACAGGATGGGAGTGATATTAGTTCTCATCTTAGAAATTGCTTCCTTGGGTGGCTTTCTAAAGCCCTGGTTGCTTGGTTGGTTGTTGGTGAAACTCATTCCTTGCCTCAGAAGGTTTACAGTGCAGATAAACCAAGTCAGATGCAAGGCACCGATGAAGTCCAGGACAAGCAAAGGATGGGGATGAAGAAAGGAGGGATTTTACAGAAGTGTTTTGAGACCAGAAAAGGACAATGAAATTGCACCTCACAACATGAGCTCCATGGCAAAGGGGAGGAATCTGAGTAAGGTGTGGAGACCCAGGCAGTGAGGAGGTCAGAGGATAATAGAGCTAGCAGGGGTTCAGATAAAGGTTGTTACACTTTTGGCAGGGAAGGAAGCATTTTGCTCTGGCTCACACAGGCAGAAGGAAGGCAAAGTTTCTCCCTTTGTGTAAATCTTTGAGGTGAGGGAGGACCAGAGCATAGACATGCTGTTTGTTCATGGGAAACAAAGCCAGCCAGGCTTTGCAGTGAATTCTCATCCTCAAACAATGGCCTTGTGGGATTAGCAATCCTTAGCTAGGGAACCACCAGCATGGGTCTGATCTCTTTATCTCCTGGATGTTTGTCATGCTGTTAATTTATATGAACAAGCTTAGCAAATAAAATTCTCTTCACTGGTGGATCTTTTCCCAGGAATTAATATATGTGTTCTCAGCATAGCTCCACCAGCTGAACAGTGACAACTCACTGCAGAAGTCGTCACACTAAATCAGAACAT